TTTTCCTGCTTTTAAATCATGTTCACATGACATTTCCTTTGGGTTTATCAAATTATGTTCATTCTTATAAATTCTGTTGATATGATTTTTCTTTTCTTTGAGCAAATAGATACTCTTGTTTGGTGCACGCTGAACACGTCTGGCCAGCTATTGCCACCTCGAGGGGGTCACACGACCGTTGGTTTCGGCAAGAACTTATTTGTGTTTGGGGGTTTCTCAGATGAGCAGAACTTGTATGATGATGTATATATGCTAGACATTGGTAAGTTATTTTGTGGCTGTTCCTAGTTAGTTAGTTAAATTAGTCTGATAAAAGTATTTTGGACAGCATCAACTTTCACGAAAAATAATAAAGTAATATGAAAAAGTATGTCTACTTTTTTGACTTGCCCCGTGCATTTGTGCAGTCATAACTGATATTTTAGATTGATCTTGGTAGAAGTGACAATGTTTTCTTTGTTCTTGTTTTGTTTGGTAATGGTTCATACTTTTATTTTTCAGGAAGCCATTTTTTTAATAGAAAATGATTGAAATAATTTGCATATACATAATGAAATAAAACTATTTCCGTCATCTTCTCATGCCTAATAAATTTATCATACTATTATAACCTTGTGGAGGGCAGTGGGATCATTGATACATTGCATGACTTGTATATCTCTTTGCAAATTTCTGCGCAACTGTTTATTTTTTAATTTTTTTTAAAGAAAAAATTGTATGGTTGTTTTATATAGAAAGTGGGGCATGGATGAAAGTGTTAGCTGTAGGAGAGGGTCCATCTGGTCGATTTTCAATGGCTGGTGAGAGTTTGGATCCTCAGATGGGAGGTGTTCTTGTTTTTATTGGTGGCTGCAACAAAAATCTAGAAGCACTAGATGACATATATCTCTTGCACACAGGTTTTTTCATCTCTCTCTCTTTTTTTTTTTAATTTACTCATAAATTAGAAATTAGTATTTATTTGTTTTTTTATTTATTTATTTATATTGGTTTTGTGCTTGGTCTGCACATTTTCAGGGCTTTTTAGAGAACTCGAGCGAGACGAACGGCGTATTGAGAAGCTATCTCTGAGGAAACAGCTGAAGTTAAAATGCCAAGAGCAGAGCACTTTTAGTCCTCCGTATGATAAGTCTTCTTTCGGAGCTGAGCTTGAACATGATAATACCGTTTACCAACCCACGCCAATATCAACTTATGTTCCATCAGGCAAGAGCAAATATTTTAATGCATTATATTGGATTTTGAAATCATTTGATCTGCTGTCATGCTTAGATTGAATCTTACCTGTGTTTCCCTTTGAGAAATTTGTAAATGAAGTTCAATATTTTTCTCTGCTTCTACAATCTCTTTTAACACAAATACGAGTAGAATTTCGCGGTGATAAGTAGATAGGTCATAGGCCTCATAAGTTGACTATCAAATTTGCTAAAGCTTGAATTTTCATTTAATTCACACAACACTCACTAACACAATTAAATAGGAAAAAAAGAAAAAAAAAAAGGAAAAAGAAAATAATGTCATAAATTCGGACGGTGTTCATGATATTATAAACTTATTTAAATGTTCTTGATTATGCTTGAATTCCCATCACAGGAAGGCAGAATTTCTATTTAAATGAATATCAGACTCCAATGGGTAAAAGGACCTTCCAAGCTAAAGTCACTAAAAGCTTTACAGGCGGATATACCATCGAAACCATCATTGATGGAAGGCCTCTTCGTGGCGTTCTGTTTTCGAACAAACCAAGCTTTGGTAGCATTGGTATTGATGTTTCCAATAGGTGAAGTTTTTTGTTCTGTTCAGTGTGTTAACAATCATACATCTGTTTTGCTAAACTGGCATGAGCTATTTGCAAGAAAACGAGTTTTTTTTTTTTTGGCTTGTAACTCCCTCCGATTGCAGGAAGGTTGAAATTGAGAAATCTATGAAGACTCAGTTGGATGATGTAAAGCAAACAGATAATCGAAATGAAAATGATGTAGTCGAAGCCCAGTTGGAGGTTGCTGCCTCGGAAATGAAAAATCTTGCTGTCTCCGGAGATTCAATGCCAGTGGAGGTTATTTCTTGTGGTCTTTTTCCTTTATGAAGAATAACATCTCTTTTGAAGATTTATATATATATATATGTGTGTGTGTGTGTGTGTGTGTGTTTATATCACATCAACTAGTATAAGATGGTCTCATACGTTTGGAAGTACGATGTGAAAATATTAAATTTTACTAATACTGTCTTATAGTATGATAGTAGACTTACTACATTTAGAGCATGTTTGTTTACAAAATAATTCATTTACATTCAATTTATACTCAAAATCCAACTCATATTTAACTCAACCCCACTATTCTCGATATTATCAATATAATTAAATAATACAAACAAATCATTCTTACACATCACATCGACTAACTATCACTTCACATCATTTCTTCCATCAAATCAATTTTAATTATTTATTATAAAATCAAAATCCCACTAATAACTAACAGTCCAACTTTTTCAAAATTAACCCTAGTTAATCGAAAAACCTCACTCTTGATTTTTGATCGGATTTATTTGTAAACAGAATTTTCCTTCTTTATTATTTTCAACTATTATGTGAGATTTGTTTTC